CGCAGGAGGGAAGGCTGTCACCTTATAAAGGTTGTGACCAAAAATTATGTAAATAGAACAACAATTTATATTTTAAATTTAATTTAAAAAAAATCTTTACACGCGCGGAATGCGGGACATCATATGATGTCGTTCTTCAATTTATCCTTACTTTTAACGTCACATGACGTCGCTAGATTACATTAGATCATGCAGGAAGGAAGGCTGTCTCCTTATAAAGGTGGTGACCAAAAATCATGTAAATAGAACAAGAATTTATATTTTTAATATAATATTAAATAAACCTTACACGCGTGGAATCCGCGACATCATATGATGACGTTTGGCCAGCTGCCCTAACTTTTAACGACATCATATGATGACGTTCGTCCGATAAAGGTTAATGAAAATAGAGATAACATAAAAAGAATTATTTTCCTACTTTTTTGTTTTCTGCTTGTAGCACATTCTTGTGGCAGAAATGATGATTAAGAAGTTGTTGGCAGAGGCAGGTATCTATACATTCACACCTTATGAGATTCAAATGTTTGTGTGTTACAATGCAGTGTGAACCAACATCTTTCAAGATCTGAGGTTCTCACAGTGGTGACTATGAAGATTACTGTCTTAATCTTAGCCAATGTCTTGACTTGCGCAGTTGTGCACTTAAAGAACTATAACCATGAAGTAGGATAACAGGGACTCTTTTTATTAGTGACACCATTTTTTGCGCCTTTAAATTAAAACGGTCACAATTACAAAAACATTTATAACCACCGAAACTGCTCACAGTAACTAACATAGCTACAAATTATATCTAGGTTTACAATATGTTCATAAGATATAATTCTGCTCATAAATCAGATTTGGTTGTCCTGAGCCTGATAGGGATATACAGTATTTCTTTTTTTTTTTGTTATTGCTAGTGAGGCGGGACTAAGTCCCTTGTACTGTGGCCACTTCTGGCCTATTGTACCAGCCCCAGATGATAGGTGAGGGTGATTGTGGAGCAATTGGTGGAATGAAGATTGGCAGGGGAAACCAAAGTACTCTGAGAAAACCTGCCCCAGAGCCACTTTGTCCACCACAAATACCACTTGACCAGACCCGGGATCGAACCCGGGCTGCCACAATGGGAAGCCAGTGACTAACCACTTGAGCTCTGGCATGGCCTAGACATACAGTAACCATAAAGTCTAAATAACTACTATATGAGAGACACACTAACCTTTCCCAGACAATTTTATTGTTTTGGTAATTAAACGCTAGGAGCTGGACAACCAAGGGATCAAAGTTTGATTTCATAAATGGCAACAGTGTTCAGATCAGCTCTGCAGCCATCCAGTCTCTAATCCAATATCAGGAGTCTTTACCCGAGGGTTAAAGTAGCCATAAGCATGCACCATTCTACCCCTACATATACATTCATGGCTTGGCACTTAATTAAGAACAGGAACAACCACACAGCCTTACCTTACTATAGGATTAAATGTCTCATGATCTGATAGCTGGAGCATTGAAACTGCCAAATTCCTGAATGAATGAATGCAAGCAGTGATTTCCTTTAATTGGTATGCACATTTGGAAATTTGTCAGAAATCACAAATCTACTGGTTCAGTGTTGTGTTCAAATACTGAACGTAACACTGAGCATGAGAAGAACAGGAAACATGACTTCAGAAAAAAGAAAATTGTTGAGTAGGTTATCATCTTGTGAACATTCCACATGCTTGTAAACTAGAGCTTTTTGAAAATTTGCATTCTTTTTTAATAAAAAATTTGCCACACCTATGAATGTTCATGCCACACAGCTTACAGAAAACTTCAAGAAATTAAATATAGTGTTCAAGTGGGAAAAGAAATATCACATTCCTTCCCTCCTGGTTACCTCTGGACATCAGAGTAGTAAATGTACTGTGTTCTGACATCATAGTCCAATGCGGCTGGTCGTGACAAATCCATGACAGGAATCATCACTTCTTGTGGTCTCTGTTTTCCAGTCAGTGAGATTCCCTTTATCATTGCTGGCCGAGCTTTTCCAAACAGCAAGAACTGTGACTGTTTGGCCACTGGGAACAAAATAAGGACAAAGATTTCACCAACCGAGTACTATGACTATATACGACTGGAGGGCAAGGTATTTTTAATTCTGTGACCATCTTCAATAAGTAGAGTAGATGATGAAAAATTACCACTTTAACCTATAACATTGAGGCATGTAGACCCGCTGCTAGACAACTGTGAAATATGCCGACTATACAACGGCTGTTACTAGGCAGAGGCCCATAAACAGCAACAGAGGAATAATGTTTTCTGCATGATTCATGCCAAATTGTTATAAACAAGTCAGCCAGTCAGTGAGTCAGATTGGGGTTCAGTTACACCTGGTCAACACTCCGGAGCCCACAAAACTCAAGAGCACTGTCACATGCTGTACAGTCCTCAAACTGCACTCCAATAGGCTGCAAACTGTGCCAGTCATTCTCTTCATCTTCACTGAGTTCCACTGCACTGTCATCATTGCTGTTAATATGATCAACTGAAAAATCACACTTCACAAAGGAATTCTTGACTGTAGTGGGTGTTACCTATCTCTAGGATTCTGCTATGAACTGCACTGCAGATAACATATCCAGCTTCATCTGTGTAGCATCTTGGAGCAGTCCTCCATCTGTCATGACTGTCTGAATCAACTGTCTTCTGTTATGGGACTAGAATGTATGGATGACTAGCAAATCCAAAGGTTGCAGTTTGCTGGTACACTTAGCTGGGAGAAATACAACTTTGATGTTGCAGAGAAATGTGGTGTTCTTCGGGCGGGCAGCACACTGATAAATGAAAAGTAAGATTTTGCAATTTTTAGCACCCAGCTTTCTATTTAGTTGTGTAGTTTGGTAGTCATCAAAGAATTTGTATTAGCTTCATATTTTTAGGTAGTCTCTTCACATTCTTGAAGCCTTTATATCTTCCACTTAAAAGAAGTGACAGTTTATCACTAGCATCAGCACTGCATGGGAGTAGTGCAGCAACCAGGCGTTCAGATTTTACACCACCACGGCAAAAATCTCCTTGAAAAGTGAAGGTTTTGCTAGGTTGTAGACTGAAAAACAGACTGGTTTCATCAGTATTATACATATCACAGAGGTCATAAACTTCAATTTCTTGAAATCATCAGTAATTTTTCCATTCTTCCAAACTTTCTTGTCAAGACTCCTGCTTACATCTGTAAACAATGTTGTGTCTCCTCTCAAATCTGTTGATCCATCTGACCAACCCGAAAAGTTGGCTATTCCAATATAAGTGACGATGTGCAAGGACTTCTCAAGGTGGGTGTCATCTATGGAAGCATTCTTCCCACACGTGTGTTTGTACCATGCAGTGAATCCAGATCCCAGTTACAGTTATCCTAAGATGCAGCAGGATCGAAGCTGGCCTAGAACACACGCCACATGGACTGCAGCGGTGTAAATATCCCCTCATGTATGACAGGCCCTAGTTAAGTTGTTTCAATGAACAACACTTAAATTAAGACATGAAAGCTTGCTCAATTAAAATAGGAAACTAGGGATGAGGACTCAAACTGCACAGAAAAAATCCATTATAATTACCGTACAGTATTCAATAGCTATAGGTGCCCTATAAATTGGCAGGAGCATGGAGCAAATGACACAACAGCTTTGCAATTCTCTGCTAAATCTAAGCTATGACAGGAAACTTTGGTTTGAAATGTATAATTTGTAATAAGCAGCAGAGTCAGACCACAAGAGAAGTAAAGATGTCTTACAAAGTTAATGGAGAAAGACTATGACTATACAACACGTTTACAATATGAGACAAATACACTATAATAAAGACTTTATGTCTAGATATCAAACACCATTACTAAATTCCAGGATTCTGCCAGAAAATTTCAAGGCATCTGGCAGCCCAATCCCCACATTCTTCATTGTCCCATTTCAGCAAACAAAACACCTATGTTAATAAACTAACAAATTTTTCAATTGGAAGAAGGGACTAAATTACTGACCCACACAATGTCCAGTCGGCATGGACCTGTAACCTGCCTTACACAAACACTGCACCACAGGATGTCCTTTCTTCCATGATGGAATGCAGATATGTTGGCAGCCACCATTATTGAAACTGCATAGATGCGATTCTAAAAAAATACAAATGATACATTACACAGATGTTCTCAAAGTTATACTCACAAGACCTTCATAAAAATTAACAGAGGAACATGAATTTGTAACAATTTAGGTGTGCCATGAATTAATTAATTTCCTTCACTTGACCACACAGTAACATTTAAGTTGTAGGTAGAAATTTCCACTGCTCTAAACAATCTGCTAGTTTATGAATAGTTTCTAGAGTATTTGTCTAAGGAAATGAGTCTTCTCCGTACTCAGCTGTGGAGTTTAGAAAAACATTTAGGCATGGAGTGATGCATAATATATTTTCAAATATCTGAAGCAAGTTTCATTCCTTCAAATACAAATACCTTTTCAAGTTGTATTTACTTCTTATATATAGACCAAATGTGCACATAAGTTCCTAGTGAAGTTAATATTAAATTCATATAAAAAGGACTTTCCTGAAAATAGTCAGGTAGAAAGAGAGAACAGACTTGTCAACAACAACACAGTGCACTTTAATACCTGTAGAGTAGTGACTATTTATAAACCACTTACAAAAATACACAACTGAAGGCTGGGACTATAGGGCTTTTGTGGAAACTCACCTTCTGGCTGCCGCTGTCTATGGAAAACGTGGATAGCAAATGGACGGCTGAGGTTAGCCACAGTCTCATACTCATCTGAGTTGAACTTATGAAGCCGAATGATGCTCTGATTGCGCCAACTTGTCACATACAGATTGTTCTCAAAAACTGTGATATCATACAAGTTCTGCACCTGTAGCATACAATAATATTATGTCATATGATCAAGAAGAAACAAATAATGTTCAGCCTAGCAGAATAAAACAATTTTCAATGACATTTATTTTAAATTTTAATTATTAAATACACAAGTGAAAACCAATACATTTATATTATATGTATTATTAACAAAATATAAGCAAACATCAAGTTACATCCATATATAAAATTAGACTGATGTATGTTCAAATGACAGATTTCAATGTAAACCTCCGACAAGTAAATTCATTCAAATGAAAGGTCGAACACAACCTATTCTGAGAAACTCAATACAGTCAGCAAAGTCTTTGTACCATCAATTTAAGTTTGCATATATGGAAAATTTTCACATAAAATAAGGTTCTTTTTACAGGAATCCTCAATACAATAAGCAATTTCTAGCAAATTATAACTTCTTTCACTGACTTGAAATCGGCTCTGATTCTGATGTTACTTCAAGCTGGAGGTTCACAGAGGTACACATTCCAGATCTGTCAGGACCTTCCTTCAGCCCTAAAATTTTAGCCAATGAGAAATGCCTGACATGTGATGTCCTCCAAACTATCTCTTTGGTCTAACAGCTTGTTTTAGTGTGTATTGTGTCACATGGTTAGTCAATGGGAGTTGGAAATTTTTCTGTGATTGTTATGTCATGTACTTTAAGTTAAAAACTATTCAACCCTAACTATACAAACAGAATATAAATGATTGGACTTAAATACAAAGCTTGAGACTAAATAAGGTCGGTCAAGTGATAGTGCTTTTCACATGCATTCAGGTGTCTGGTATGGATATCTGTTAGGACACCGATTATCTCGAGTAGGGGGTTTCATGGTTTTCCTCAGTTCCTCCAGGCAAATTGCAGGATTATATCTTAAATTAGGCTATGACCACTTGCTTCCACATCTATTCCAATTTATAATTCACTACCATTCAACCATTTGAGGGTACGCTATTTCAGTTACAGACAGTATCGTCAAATAACTACAAATGAAGCTTGAAGTAACATGCCTTTATCAATTTGGCAACTCATCAAAGAACACAACAGGGAAACAGAATGAAGTGATTTCTGTTTCACTATTTTAAAGGGTAAAGACAAAATGTGATCAGCTGTTCTTTGTGATGGAAGGCCAGTAACACAGAAACAAATGCAGAAGGCTGGGAAGGAAAATTTGGAATTCAGGCTCTTTTTGGTTATTTTGTCAAGAAAGAGGGATTGGTGCACCCAACTGAGGAAGCAATGATGAAGGCAAAGATAATCATTTTACAGCAAGATTAAAGATCAGAAATTTTGCAAAGTATGGTTCTGCCATTTCAGGGGGGGGGGCATTAATATGCATAAAGTGCCATTGAATGGACTGTCAAGTGAACAGGCAGCATTTTGAACAAGTGTGTAATATAGCATACACACATAAGAACTAGTCTGCTTCAATTTCTTTACGAACTGAACGAAACTGACATGAGATGACATGTTCAATGTCACAAGTGAGTACAGTGAATTATGACTTATGAGAACACCACAAAATAGAAGTAAGCGTGTGGATGGGACTTGTGGGCACACAGCAAACAGTGGGTATAACATTTACTTATAAAGGACAGGTCCTAGGAAGCAGTCAGTTGTGGGTACAAGACAATATGTTCAGCCTCAGAAAATGCTTAAAGTTTCAGCTCAGATACTATTCACAGTTGTTTTCATATCTCCATTATAACTACTTCAGACAGAAGTAATACTGCTCTACCAGTGTTATTACAGCAATGAACAATACAGTGAAATAGCTAATCACGTTTATAACACAGCTGCCGTATTCAGAAAAAAAGTAGTAAAACCCCAAATTACTGCAAGAAATTTGTATGCATTAGAAGTACAAAACATCTGCCCAAGAGGAGAAACCAACCCAAGAAATACGTGACTACTGAGCCCCATATGAAAAAAAATGTATAAAAACATGTGCCCTACTTATTTTGTAATATTTGCTCAATTTACTTAAGTACTATACTGTATAACCATGTCAATTCGAGTTTCCTTCGTGTCCATATTCCTGGGTTAGCATCTTGGTTCGGTTGGTTTGTTTTCTATTTTTTCTTCTCACTTTTAGATCTTCAAGGGTAAAATTCCACAATTTTTACTGAAAATATTCAATTACCTCCCTTATTAAAACCTGGCCCAAATTAGAATATACAGTAGAACTTGGTTATAACGCCATCAAAGGGACCTAAAAATAGTGTCGTTATAAACGAATGTCGTTGTAACCGAAATGAGCACTTCCACAGTAGCCTTATGTTAGTCACGTAAAAATCTACCAAAAACCGAGTTAAAATGTTACATTTTTTAGTGAAATACGTAGTTAAGTACAGACTAACGTAACATTAACGTGGAATTAATATGGATTCTCCATATCGTTTGTACTGTAGAATTCACCAAACCAAATTCGCGGCATAGATCAGCTTTTTTCCTTCCATTTTCTATTTCACGAATCACTTTAACTTTCTCTTCAATGCTTAAAACTTTCCTTTTCATTGCCATGTTTTCGCTACTGTACTTCTCTGGGTTTAGGCAGGAACACTATAGGGTAAGTAGACAATGTGAGGTCCTGTTAGACAAGATTCTAGGAAAGGAATGCAGTTAACAACCTGCCGCGTCCTCTTGCACTATTCACGCAGTCCCACCCCACACCCTTGTTTTCGCATAAAACCCACGCTCCTCTTGCAGCCCGCGGTCGTATTCTTCCAGGACAGTCACGTCAGCAAGTAGAGAAAGTGAGGGTGGGCAGACACATCGAACTTTCCCACAATATCAGAGAAATTCAGGAATGAAAATGACGTTACATACGAAGTTGATGCATTTGTGCATGTCGTACTAAGCAAGGTATAAAAACAGTTACTTTATGAGGAATTAGTTCGTACCATTGAATATTTGACGCAATAGACAAGGTGTCGCAGAAACCGATGTTGCTATAACCAAGTTTTACTGTACATAACTATAATTTTGCCTGTGGTTCTGTGCAGGTGTGAAACTTGGTCTCTGATATTAAGGGAAGAACATAGAGTGTGGGTGTCTGAGACTATTTGGACTGAAGAAGGATGAAGTGAAAGGAGGCTGGAGAAACCTGCACAATGAGGAGCTTCATAACTAGAATGATCAAGTCAAGGAGGATGAGATGGGCATGGCATGCAACATGAATGGGAGGGAAGAGGAATGCATATATGTCAGTGGTGGGAGAGCCACAAAAAGAAAGAGACCACTAGGAAGACCAAGATGTAGGTGGGTGGATAATATTAAAATGTATCTTAGAGAGATAGGATGGAATGGTATGAAGTGGATTGATCTTGCTCAGGATAGGGACCAGTGGAAGGGTCTTGCGAACATGGCGATAAACCTTCAAGTTCCATAAAATGTTGGGAAGTTCTTGAGTAGCTGCACAACTGGCCAGCTTCTTAGGAAGAGCTCGGCTCCGTGAGTGATTAAAACCTGACCACGGTGGCTTATACAGATTTAATTGACTCACTTGGATTGTCCTGTGATTTTAAAGTCAGTTACTTAACAATGCTGCCAGTATCAAGAATATACAGCGTCAATAACGGGCTGATTAATGAATGTGGAGCAACTGGTGGAATGAGAATTGGCAAGGAAACATAGTACTCAGAGAAAACCCACTCCAAGGCCACCCTGTTCACTTGTCACAAATGACCTCACATGACCTGGGATTGAAACCACGCCACAGCAATGGAAAGCCAGTGACTAACTGCCTGCGGTATAGCAGAGCCCTTGTCTGGTGACTTAACTAAATACATGCCTCCAAAACTTTTCATCTGAAGACAAAAACAGATTCACTTTCCAAAATGTTGTGTTCCTTTCAAGATACTAGATAATGGACGTCAAGAAATACATGAATACAAAGCCCTGTAGAGCACCTTCAAACCCTAGAGAAACAGCTTAATGCTGCATTGTGATGAGCTAGGAGATGCAGATCACGGATTTTATTCACCATTGTTATGGGTGTCCATTAAGAACAAAAAGTGTCACTAATTTTATACAGTTTCTTTATATCAAGGTTTCACTGCAATGCACTTCCAATCACTTTTTCTTTTTTTATTGCTAGTGGGGTGGCACTAAGTCCCTTGCACTGTGGCCACTTCTGGCCTATTGTACCAGCCCCAGATGATAGGTGAGGGTGACTGTGGAGCAATTGGTGGAAAGAAGATTGGCAGGGGAAACCGAAGTACTCTGAGAAAACCTGCCCCAGCGCCACTTTGTCCACCACAAATCCCACTTGACCAGACCCGGAATCGAACCCAGGCCACCACAGTGGGAAGCCAGCAACTAACCACTTGAGCTATGGCACGGCCCTTCCAATTTCTTAATCCATTTGATTTCCATATCCTCAGAAACGAGGTTAGATTTAATTTGAAGCCGGAGACTTAGAGAAACAGAGGGCTCAACAAATATGACACCAATTTTCAACAAAAAATATGCATTTACCAATTTCATGTACAGTTCTGTTATAAAAACTTCTTCTACAAGTAACCATAGCTTGATAATAAGCAACAGAAAATCATCTGAGAATCATGTAAATCTTTGTCCACCTTTCTTCCAAGTCATTTTCCAAGTCATTTTCCAACCTGAAAATACTAAAATGTCTAAAGCAATGATAACGTTTCCTGACTCTTACTGGAAATCCCTTTTTCACTGTTCGCCTGTTTGAACCATCATAGTTGATTCTCTCCACAAAATCTAAGTATGTGTCTACCCAGTAGACATGCTGCGTGGGGTAATCAACTGTCACTCCATATGGATACACGATTTTCTGTTGTACAAGAGTTGTTCTGTTCGAACCATCAAGTGCAGTTCGCTCCAACATTGGACTTGAAGCTCCCCATTTGGTGAAGAACATGTATCTGAGAAAGAGATACAAAATTTTGATTATATCAATAACTGTCACATTTAACCAATCTGTTATACAAGCTCTTCTAAACAAAGTTAACCCTCTGGCTGCCAAGCACTGCCACAGAACTACAGTACTTTCACTCTCAGTGAGTGGAGTATATGATATGCAAATTATCTCGATTAATGACAGAAATGTTTGAACATACACATGTGTAGCAGCTGTACTCTGCAACTTCATCTGAGGACAGTGGGAGTTCAGGGAATGGAACACGTGTTGCAAGAAGGGGAAGATACAGCAAGCTGTCTCTGTAAGTAAGCCATGCAACACATTGTTCAAAGAAATAAGATAATGGACTGATGAGGAAATTCAGATTATATGCAATGTACCTTTCTCAGTGATAGAAACGTGGGGGTAAGCAGCTATCAGATTTTTGAACGTGAACATTCTCCTAATCAAGGATGGGTTAATGGGACCCTTACAGACTGCTAATTGTAGCTAACTTTGCTGCAAGTAAAACTGGTGTAAGAAATTAAAGGAAATCAGTGGTTGCTCATTACAAATTACTTGTCGTGATAAAGCTATGGGGGAAAAGCCCTCATTTTATATGATAAAAGAGGTAAAGCTAATCCTGATTAGCAGGCTGTGGAGGCCCATAAGGTTGTGAGACATTAGAGGCTCCCACATTTTCTAGACAATCGGCTCAGAGATGTCGGTGAGGTTGTCAGCCTTATGCGCCAGCCACCCTTGACACCCAGGAAGATTCCTGGTACTCATTTCTGTTAAAGGCTGAGTTACCCCGAGGGCCACAGTGCAGCTGGAAGAATTAGGTCAACTGAAAAATCCAACGACTTCATCTGGAATCCCCACAACCTTCTGGCTTGTAGCATAGTACCTCAACCAACCAACATTACTGTGTGCTCCCCATTTTGTATGATGATTTTCCACATATGTAACACTAACAAACTGATGGTTCCAGCAGAGTTTTTGCTATAATTAAGCCCTCAAAAGCCAGGATAGAATGGCTGGTATAGCAACTACTATGGGCTGGACAGCCAAGGGGTTAGAGTCTGAATCCCAGGAGGGGCAAGGCTTTTCTCCTCTCCACATTATACAGGCTGGTCCAAGACCCCACTCAGCCTCGCTACTAATAGATACTGGGGGTTCTTTCCCCGGGAGTAAAGCAGCCAGGGTGTGAAGCTGACCACTCACCTCCAGTCAGTGCCAAGATCAAGAATATCTCCCCTATGTCTTCATGGCATAGTGCTTAATTAATTACGCACAGGAGCAACTTCACCTTTTTTACCTTTTATAACAAGGTCCTCATTATAAGTCACACTTGATCCACTGCAGTTTCACTGTATATTCATTATATCAGTACTTCAAGTTGAAACCTAATCATTCAAAGAGTTTGCAATACATGTACATAAATTTCTTACCCTTTGGTTGGATCCAATGCTATGCCCCTAGGTTTGCTGAGGTTCACTCCAATCAGAATAACACAGGCTTTCATTGTTGAGTTACACAGGAAAATCATCTCACGTGTATCGTCTAAGAAGTACCAGTTTCCTGAGATCCAGTCCAATGCTATATGTGTCACGGCTGAAAAGATAACTCAGCTTAGCATGCCTTATTCAGACTAACAATACAGCAACTCTTTCCAACTGTATCAAATATTAAAGACATTTATTACTCAGAGACTTTTTACAGAGGCTTTGACCTCTGGAACACTATGCTAAATCTACTTTCTATCCAGATATCTTAAACTTCACACTCTGTACTTACAATCCAATGGAAACATGGTTGGTGTAGGAAGATCCCATGAGTCATTAAGATTATCAATATTGGCACAAGTGAGTTTTGCATTGCTGGGTTTATGTTGGACATAACAAAGACTGCGATTCCGATGACTGAATTCCAGTGCCAACGTCTGAAGTGGAGTTAATGAACTGTTCCCAAGGTATGAAGAACCATTAAGGTGAATATGTCGAATGTCTGCTGTGCTGCTAACCACAATGCTAGGCGGCTCATCTTCTGGCACTGAAACAAACCAGAGGACGCATATCTTAATTTGTTAGTTTACATCAAACTCTTCATTCACTCCTATTACTGACTTCACAGTACAAGATCCTTCATGCTCAACTGACAAGTACTGAACTGCTGTCGTTGAACATAACAGTTCATCACCACCACCAAACAACCTGACAACAGCCACATCCTGAGGCTGTTCATTCAAGATGACATCTTCACATCCCACATACTTGGAATTTATATTACTATTAGTGTCACATCTATGCCTAGGTCTCCCTAATAGTTTCTCTTCTTTAGATTTCAAACCATTATTTAAATGTGCTTAGATGATCTTTCTTCATTTAATCATTCCAATTACATGTCATGAAAACACAGAAATTGTGATGCCTGTCATTATGTAATGTTCCATCTCAAACTACTTTTTTTTCACTGGTTCTACAGCCCCCTTGGGCCCTGGCCTCTGATTTTTCAGTTTCATGATCATTCTACAGACAGTAGGACTCCTTGGACGGGTGATCAGCTCGTCACAAGGCCTCTACCTAAACACAGAATAAACACATACACATTCCAAACATCCGTGCCTTGTACTGGATTGGAACCCATGATCCCGGCTTCTAAGCAAGTGAAGACAGTACATGCCTTAGACCGCTCGGCTACTGTGATCAGGATCTCAAATTACTACTGACTCTAATGTCAGTTCAAAATGTGTATCAAATTATATGTAATACAGTGTAAAGGCTGATGTACAGAAAAATAAGTTCATGACTATAAAAAACGCAAGACCAAAAACAAACAAACAAACAAACAAACAAAATGGAAACAATAGCAAGTGTTCTTCCTTCATCAGTGCCACTGTGGATCCATCATAAAGGCAGAACTTTCTTTTTCTGTACTAAATTAGTTTTTCTTATGAATAAACAACATAACAGGCATACCCCTAGGTTTGACCAGAAAGTGTTCCTAGAAATAGTGGTTGAATTTCACTGCTCCTGGTCAAATAGGAAATAAACTGGCTGAATTACAAGGAGGGGTTATAACACATAACAGCCAAATACACGAGCTGGTTAGATCTTCAACAGTTAAATCTCGGTTTGTTGTACTTTCCATGTGAGGAAAATAGTGATTCTGAAAACATGATATACATGGAGAGAAGACTATTTTCAAGCATATACAAATATAATGGCAAAAAGCTCTGATCTAATTCATCCACCAGTCTAACTTCTTCTTCACTGATTGCTACAAGTCTTTCTATCAACAGTCTCCTTGAATATCATACAAGTAATTTATATATTCTATCTCATAAGTTCTCCTTTGATGGCAACAACGAGAATGTTGTTTCCTTCCTTCACACTTCTCAATTTCATTAATACTGACAAAAAGAATTTACATTCAAATACATACCATTGACTGCAGTACACTTGGAACCACTTCTCTCATAACCTGACACACACTGACAGTTGAAACTACCATTATTATTGATACATATTTGATCACATGATCCATCAAGGAGACATTCATCAAAATCTGAAAGAAACAATTTGAACCGTACAAAATCTCACATTTTATGATAGTCACAGTGAATGTCATTTTGATTATTCTTATTCTGAGAAGAAAGCAGTCTTCTGGGATTTGGCACCGTGTATATGTGGTGTTAACCGACGTTTCGGTTAAAGCAGACTGCTTTTACCGTTCTCACGGTCTTGTCGCTTGCAGATTTCTTATACTTTTTCTTCTACCCTGAAGATGGAGGCGATACGTTCCTCCGAAACGTCGGTTAACACCACATATACACGGTGCCAAATCCCAGAAGACTGCTTTCTTCATAGTCACTGCCGTGAAAGCCTCAAATCTTACATATTCTTATTCTGTTTGAACCAATAAATCATTAAAAATATGATACTTGTGAGAAATTGCAATGCAATTCACAGTCATTCAATTTATTCAAAAGACGCCATAAACCAATGAATAAATTGCAATTTGTCAACAATTTTCATGCTTCTTTTGATATATAAATTTAAACATGTGAGGTGTGCAGAGCTCTCAATAATTAATTATCCATACCAACACATCGTGATTTATTGGGTTGTTGACCCTCAGGACAGTAGCAAAGAGGACCTGATGGACTTGGACGGCATCCATGCTCACATTTCACTGAATCACAGAGACTCTTGTTGTCTGAAATCAAAAACAAATACAAAACATAAGTCAACTTATACCAAGCTCACAGCAAAATATAATGCTGGAAAGGATAAATTTGTAAAGTATAGTGCCAAAATAAGGTATGTATAGGAAGAACTGAACTTCTTTTATACAGATCATTTGCTTACAAAGATGATGGAAAACGTGAACCTACTTTCTCACACACAAATGCACAACTCACAATCTGCACAATCTGCCACAAAGTATTAAAAACTTGGGCAATGATACCAAAAAGTTTAAATCAGAGTTAAAGAATTATCTACATGCTCATTCCTTCTACTCTTTAGATGAATACTTCAATGTAAATAGAGAATGATGTAAAATTAAGTTATATTAATTTTTAAGCTAAAATTGCCTGTACTTATGTATGTAACCTTTTGACTTGTTCTGTATTCAAAGGTACTAACCTGCTTAGGATTTATAGAATGTAAATAAATTCAATTCAATTCAAAGCATATTGGTTCCCACAATCATAATTATAATAAGTGAGCTAGAATACAGGCGAATTATAGAATAAAATGTACTAAGATGACTATTCTTAAATCAACGGGAACAGCGATCTCTCAAAGTAAAAAAAGTAAAGCTATCCCTGTAACAGGCCGTGAAGGCCCATAGAGTTGTGAGACGTTAAGGGTCCAACATTATCTAGACAATTGGCTCAAAGACGGCGGTAAGGTTGTCAGCCTTACGCACCGGCTGCGCTTTACTCCCCAGAAAAATTATTTAATTAATTCCTGGTACTCATTTCTGTCAGAGGTGGAGTCGGCCCCAGGGCCATAGTGCGGCTGGAAGGATTAGGTCAACTGAAAAAAATCCAATGACCTCATTGGGTCTTGAACCCACGACCTTCTGGCTTGTAGCATAGCCCTTCAACCAACTACGCTACTGTGTGCCCCAGTGATCTCTCAATACAGACATTAAATATCTAACTGTATAGAAAAATTTATGTCAAGCTTCGTTTTGTAAGAATTCTGAGGATAAACAATTATGTTTTTCATATTAAGTTCAAATTTCATCTAAATAATATTTAAAATGTGGTTCCTATGTCCAAAAAAATAAACCCCATCTATTACATTAAATTGTATGTTAATAACATTTAGAAAAATACCAGAATTTTTTGCTATAAACTGGCACAAAATATTATTGACCAGATAAAATTTGTAAGTAGGTCTCTCCAGCGCAAACATGATTTTTATCTCAAACTATTTAACATGGCTAATTTTAAGACCATAGAAAGCTTTCTATTAAAATTTGGACACGAAGAACTTTCTCTCAATTACAGGGGATGGACAAAAATATGGAAACACCTCATGAAATGCATGCCTGAATTGAAGTGTTTATTTTAGCGACGTTTGTAGGTCACGCTGTCATATCTGCCCAACCTGTACAACCTCCGCAATATGCTGCAAGCTTCATTTGTTGTCGAGACAGAGTTCTGTGCAATTTTTTGTGCATCACATCAGAGCTAACAGAATTCGAAAGCAGGCAAATTGTTGGGGCCCATATGGTGGGTGCTTCCGTAACCAAGGTAGCCGAGGTTTTTGGTGTTTCGCAAAGCACAGTATCCAAGAGTATGACCGCACACAGGAGGACTGAGAAAACTGCATCCGATAAACACCAGCGTGGACAGAAATGTGTGTTGAGTGATCGAGACAGACGAATATTGCGTAGGATTGTGATGAAAAATAAGAAGACTACAGCTGCAAAAGTGACTGCTGAACTGAATGTCACGCTCACAAACCCTGTCAGCACCGAAACAGTACTAAGGGAACTCCACAAGCAGGGTATTTCTGGACGAGCTGCAATTCCAAAGCCACTCATCAGTGATCAAAATGCCACTAAGAGGACAGTGTGGTGCCGAAGTCATAAAACCTGGACTATGGAGCAATGGAAGATGGTCATTTGGTCGGATGAGTCCACTTTCACGCTGTTTCCGGCTTCTGGCTGAGTTTACGTCTGGAGAACACCATCCAGATCCAGATTGTTTGCTGCCAAGAGTGAAATATGGCACGGGTTCGATCATGGTATGGGCAGTCATATCGTGGTATTCTGTCAGACCCATCATACCCTGCAAGGTCACGTCACTGCCAACGACTATGTGACCATTTTGGGTGACCAGGTCCATCCCATGGTGCAAACTTTGTTCCCTAATGGTGATGCCATTTACCAAGCCAACACTGCCTGTGTTCACATATCTCACATCGTCCAAGGCTGGTTTTCTGAGAACGAAGATGAAGTGTCACGTGTGCCATGGCTCCCAGAATCTCCAGATATCAATATTATTGAGCCTTTTTGGTCTGTTTTGGAGAGCAATCTGCGTGCGCACTATCCACTTCCATCATTGATAACATAACTTACCATGTTTTGAGGAAGAATGGTACAAGATTCCCTTGCAAATCATACAGTACCTCTATTTATCCATTCCAAGGAGACTGCAAGCAGTTCTGCAAGCCAGAGGTTGTCCTAAACTATATTAGTCAAGGTAATCTGTTTTTTGTTGGGAGTTTCCATATTTTTGTCCATCCCCTGTACCACTCTACTGGCCACAAAAATACTGCATTTGCTGGATGTCAAACAGCTATTAATCGCTTGAGTTATCTGGCAAGAATTAATTTAACATTGGAATCACATGAATTTCTTTAAAATGAAGGAATCTGCATTTCTTTCGCATGATCTCCCATGATCACAGCATGTGATCTGTTAAAAGTTTTGCTTAATAGCTCCCACCAGTGGCGGCTTGTGACCATTTCAACACTTTATCTCATTCCCATCCTCTACAGACTTTATGGCATACAAAATGTACACAGATCATAAATCTATCAATTCACTTCTTATGCTACCATAATTTCTAACAAATTATAAGTTCCTCCAACTGCTTTTTAAACAATGAGGCTTTAAATGTTATGGACACATAGTAGCATAGTTGGCTGAAGCACTATGCTACAAGATTTGATTTTTGATGAGGTCATACAATTTTTCAATTGTCCGAATCCTTCCAGCTGCACCATAGCCCTGGGAGCAACTAAACCTCTAACAGATATGAGTATCAGGAATCTTCCTGGGGGTTTAGGCCAGCCAGCGTGTAAGGCTGATAACCTCACTGCCATCTGTGAGCTGACTGTCCAGAAAATGTGGGAGCTTTGACATCTCATAGGCCTCCACAGTCTGTTACAGGGATAGATTTACTTTTTTTCTCTATTTAATGTTGGTATGGCCTTGCACCTCCAGCCCTTAGGAACATTCAGCCCCTGGGTACAATTATTTTAAATGTTTACTATTAACACTTTAAACCTAAAAATATTTTTCAAAATAAATAAAATCAATTATGAGTAAACATCCATTATTAGCAGTAATACTATATATTTTGCCTTAAATCAGTTCTTAATAATCGTCACAAAGAACGACCATGCAACAACAAAACAGGTGACATCCAGCAACTGTGGCATATCTTCAAACTTGTATATCTACAGCCTATAAGTCTGAGAATATTCCTGCTCCAGGCATCATTCTGTTTGCAAACAAATAGAAGTTTTTCACTTTCTTTCAATGTGTGGAAACAAACATGTTGAACATACAGATTAATATCTGATGGATGTTGTAAGCAACAAGATGTACCTCAAAACAGAGCCACAGCTATAAAATCTTAGAACCACATGAATTCTAAGTAATGGCAACAAAAATCTTAAGACCACAGGTTCTGAAACATTTTCAAATTGATATGAAATTCTGTTGACAGAACTGTACAGAACTGGTAAACTGTCCATACTTATCTCTTTAAAGCACAGAGGCTTAGCGCTTTTCCCAGTAATCAACAGCTTCTATTCGTCAGTTCCTTCCATGTCTGAACAGCACAACAAAGTTGCATGACTCAGTGTTTTTTCTGAACCAGACCGAGTTGAATGTTTGTAGCTTAGGGAACTGTCCAGCATGGTTTTCATCAGTGTTTTAGCTATCTTCTACACAAAATTTCTTAAGCAGTTTGGCAGCTTTGTGGATTTCCATTGTTCAGCACTGTCCTTCTAGCCATGTGCCTTCTTGAATTTTATCCAAATTCTGCATTTCCATCACGACAACCATCTGTTGCTTTTAAATCACTATGACTCGGCTTTTTAGCTAATTTTTCCAACTTGTTTTTTCAATACTGAACCACAGACATGCACACCTTCTTCACTTACAGTATGGAACAACTGATTAAGGGTCTCTTCAACATCTGGATCCTTACCTTCATGCTTCCGTTTTTGTGAAGTTCCCTGTTGTCCGTGACATAATGTCCATTCATTTCTCAGTTCCTCTTGCTGCTGTATAACGTGTGCAACTGTAAATTCTGGCATTTCAATTATCTCTGCCAGTTTGCAACAACTGGTGTTAGGTGGCTGGTTTTTAATTTGTTCAAGTAAGGCATTTTTTTTTTCAGTTTACCTAATCCTTCCAGCCGCACTAGGCCCTGGGGTTTACTCAGCCTCTAACAGAAATGAGTACCAGGAATTAATTAAATAATTTTCCTGGGGAGTAAAGCGCGGCCGGCATGTAAGGCTGACAACCTTACCGCCATCTTTGAGCCGATTGTCTAGATAATGTCGGACCCTCAACGTCTCACAACCCTATGGGCCTTCACGGCCTGGTTCGGGGATAGTTTTACTTTTTTTTTAAGGCAATTTTGTCAGTGAGTGTTATATCTCTCCTAGGCATTTCTGCAGGGATCTAAATTTTTAATGAAAAAAATCGCTGCACACACCACAGTAGATTCATAAATGCAGTCACTGCAAGACATGAGAGCAACACTAGCTAGGTGTTCACTTTTACTGACTCAGTGATGATGTAGTAATCACAGGTTCATCATGTGGCAGCTGTTGGCATAACTGGTGTCCCAAATAAGCAAAGCAAATTTGGGTTATATTCTCGATTTCTTTTTGTTTTCCGGGAATTTTCCAAAATAAACAACTTCCCAAATTAAGCAGTGACCCTATCAACTAGAACCCACTGTATATCTACGATGTTTTCATGTCTGTGAACCTGAAAAGCATCAATGATGTTATACATTTAAGTAACATGGCTTCTGGGAGACCTTCCTATCAGATTTCACAAAATGTTCCACAGAAATATATCTCATAAATACCCTGTTGACATTACCTGAAACACAGATGGCCAAACAGACTTGTATCTTGCATTAAGAACATCTAAAAGACTATGCCTTGAACGGTTAACTTACGGCAGAAGTCTCCCTCATCTGACTCATCTGAACAGTCTGGAACATCGTTACAGAGTGCCGTTATAGGCCGGCACTGAAGAGATTCTTCACAGCGGAACAGGTTTGGGGGACAGCTCATACCTCTCTGACCTAAAGTTGAAATGCATGAATGTAAGAGGAGTCACTGAAAAGTATTAAGACAAGAGGGGACCAAAAAAATTAAGAAAATTTTCGGTTATGACTCAACACAGGGACATTCCACATACAGGTTACGTGGTTTACTACAGAACCACTTGCTCAGTATCCTTATGCTGATGAGATCTGTAATTTTGGCTACAGTTCTTTCATTAGAAATTATATTCATCTTCCTAAGTTCAGCTTTACTTCTATGAAAATATGAGTAGTATGCAGTTCAGCCACGATTAATGGGTTTCTGGCCATTTTTCCATCATCGAGTATTCTAGAAAACACACAAGAACACATTTCAGAAACTGGATCTGCTGCTGTCCTCAGGCAAATGGTGGGAGACACCTACTCTGTTTGGTTGATCAGCAGTGGCGGCTTGTAGCTAAAATTAGTGGGGGTGCTGCTCCAAAAGTGCACAGTTCCATACAAAGATTTGGCGACTGACATTAAGCTTAAGACTTATATACTGTATTGTACAAGTATAAAGACAGAATTAAAGAAAAAGGACTCATTTTAAAAATGTTATCGATAATATCATGTGGAAATTGGGGGTGCTGCAGTTCCACAGTGCCTATACATGGGCCGCCCCTGTTGATCAGAAAAAGCAAACCTCCAGTGACTCAGATTACCTCCTTCTAATGGACCCAACACAGTATGTGTCCCTCAACCTGCATCTGAGGACAGAAACTGACCCATTTTCTAAAATATTGTGTTCTTTTATGTTTTCTAGAATACCGGACAATGGACAAAGTCCAAAAACCCAGTAAACCTGAGTGTTATACACCATTGTCAGGGCCCTTTACAATTTACAAGCAGTTCAGTGTTCAAGCATTAGTATGTGCACATTTCCTTGTTTCTGTTATAATATTATTAACATATTACAAGTCTGTATAGGATACTAGAATAGGTAACACTCCTGAACCTTAAATGTCAATAATCATTAACATTAAAATGTTGTGATTTTATTTTCAGGCTTCCAGAACAGAATTCTTGTGAGGTGGAGCAGTCACATGGTCTGTGTATGCATTCATGAGATTAGCCAATGTATGGCTTCAGAAATAAACATAAAAAAGTAAACTCTTATGAAAATTCATTGTTTGCTTCAGCATATTCATCCAATTAGTCACAGACTTCTTTGCTATGGATTACATCCCAAATTCTTTGCCAGTATTACAGCTTAGGTGGAACTAAAGCCATGCCGTAGCTCAGGTGGTCTTTGGTCTTTCCTTGCCAATTATTAATCTACAACTGTCCCATTCTCTCCTCTATCATCCAGGACAGGTACAATGGGGCGGATTGTGGTCTAAGTACCAAGAGACTTTGTCTCACTCCAGTGCAAGAATAATATCAATTAAAGCAACAGCAGCAGCAACAATAAAAAAATAACGAAACTCTGGGAAGCACTAATCACCTACTTTCCTTGATATCACATGGACCAAACAGAAAACAACATACCCAACATTTCTTCTACTGTTGTATTTGTTGCTGCGGTAACATTTGCCTGGAAACAGTAGAGGAATGCACATACAGACACACAGACTGATGGGAGGGATTTATGAAGTATACAGCTGAGACGAAGTTTCATAAAGACTCCTTCAGTCATTCAAAAGTTCATAGGGGATACACAGACACACAAACAGCATGATGATTGCATAAGCATACTTCTCTTCCCCCTCCCCCCCCCCAAAAAAAAGGAATAGGCTAAAAATGGTGAACTAAACTCTAGCATATATGAGGTGGTAACAGAAATTTCGCAGACTGTTACTGTTGTAACTGCCTCCGTGATAGAAGAGGAGAGGAGAGGCCGAGGTTACAGTTCCAAAAGTGTACTGTATCAGTCTGTCACATGACACCACTCTGTGAACTTGAACTGTTTTTACATGGGTTATTTTTCAACTTTGTGTTTCATTTTGTCTGCGATGGATGGCAAAATCAAGCGACATGTCTGCATCAAGTTTAGGATGACCAAGCATCAGCAAAACAAAATAAATCCTGAAAAAATTCGAGAACTCATCTAGGAAGACCGTCACTGAACAACCCATGAGCTAGCAGACACCACTGGGATCAGTTATGCAGTTTGCCAGGAAATCTTAACAGAAAATTTGAACATGCGCCACACTGCTCCTTCATCACAACACCGCTCCCACCCATATTCCTTCCTTCATTCATTCATTCATTTCATGGATCCTTATATGGGTGGAAGACCAGTGAATATAGAAAGAATCAAAGACAAGAAGACAAGTCCCATCAATTATATAGATAAAAATGAATTATACTTAATCCATAAGAAATACACATGCTATCCAAGACAAATCACAATGAGTAAATCAATGAACAGTTATAAAATATATATGTAAAAGCATGCAACATATTAATGTGAAACAAGACTATAATAATCAAACATAAAAATTTACTACTAAGTGTCCAGCATAGAATAGACCAATATCGTTAATTAATAGTGAAGTTGAAATATTCTTCCAATGAGTAAATTCAATTTCAAAGTATAAATATTTTTAAAGCAAATTTAAATTGTTTCATGTCATGACCTAAGTTCTTTATGCTTCTTGATTCCAAAATGTTTTTCTTTGAAATACAGTTAAATTACATATTGGATAATTGAAATTAACTTTGCCAACAAGTGGCGGTCGCTTGGTCGGTATGGTCTGCGTGTGGACTAAAGCCACGGATTTCTTTTTATATTGGAAATTGTTATTGTGTCTTGTATTAATGACATTAATCTCAGAGTTAGATTTAAACTGTTCTCTGTTTTTAACCATAAATAACAAGAGAAAATATGTACTGTGATTGGAGGGGCAAGATTTTCAGTTTCAAAAACAACTGCCAGCAAGAGCCTCTACTTCTAGAATTAGTAAAAGTGAAGCTATCCCTGTAACAGGCCATGAAGACCCATAGGGTTGTGAGATGTTGAGGGTCCAAAATTATCCAGACAATTGGCTCAAAGATGGCGGTAAGGCTGTCGGCCTTACGCGCAGGCCGCACCTTACTCCCCAGGAAAATGATTTAATTAATGCCTGGTACTCATTTCTGTTAGAGGCTAAGATGAACCCAGGGCCATAGTGTGGCTGGATGGATTAGGTCAATTGGAAAAAAAAATGACCTCATCGGGACTTGAACCCGCGACCTTCGGCTTGTAGCATAACCCCTCACTTCTAGAATTAGTAACAATTCTAATTACCCTTTTCTGCTGCCTAAATATATGAATACTATGGGAAGAACTGCCTCAGAAAATTATACCATAAGTCATAACAGAATGAAAGTATGAGAAATAAATCATTCTTATTGTTTCCTGTGACATATCAGGTTGAATAACCCTTACTGCATAACAGGCCCGACCTAATTGAGACATAAGCCAGTCGACATGTCCATTTCCATGACAGCATATTGTCGATAATTAATCCAAGACATTTGGTATTAGAAGATTTAGCAATCTGGCTGTTACCATAGTCAATATGATTTCCACTGGATAGCTATTTTTAGTCAAAAATTGTATAAAATATGTTCTCTCGAAATTTTGTGTCAATAAATTAGCTTTAAACCAATCATTTATGTTTTTAAATGTCTGAATAATGTTGTTTTCATAATCCCTGAAAACCATAGAGTTTGTGACTAACAACAACATGGTTATCATTCCCCATCCTCCATACTCACTGGACTTACCCGCCCCCTCGTGATTTCGCTTTGTTTTCCAAACTGAAAATTAAGCTGAAGGGATGAAACATTGAAACAGTGTCTGACATCCAAAGGGAATCACAAGCGGTACTCAACAGCATTAAGGAAAATGACTTCCATGGTGCTTCTGAAGTGTGGAAAAAGCGATGGGAACATTGTGTGCGTTCCCAAGGAGACTATTTTGAAGGAGATGGCAGTGAAAATTGAGTAAGTTTAGCCAGCATTTCCTTCTGGACCTAGTCCAGGAACTATCCGATACATCTCACATAACACAGATTTATTGTACTCACACAGCTGTGGGTCCTCATCGGACATGTCCGGAACCATCCTGTGGGTAACCCCGCAGTCTGACTCTCCATCACATATCCAGCCATGTGGGATGCATTTGTGTGTGTGTCTGCACTGGAACTGTCCCAGCTTGCACATTCTTGGTACTGGAAACAGAGACATTTACATTGCCTGTGATTACGACACTAAAATGCTTTGTTTTCAAGGGAAGGTCTGGAGGTTATTTCTATTGCCTACTTTTTATCTAATGCCAAAATTGATATCATGAGGCTAGAAAAAATTATATTAATAATTCTATAATTTAGTCCACCATTTCTGTCTATAATTTCCACCAGTACCGTTCTATGTTAAATTTCACGTATCTGCCATATCTGTATTCACCAGGGGGGGAATACATTTATAGATATATTTTTCATCCATCCTTATAAGGAATTTCACATTCTTAGATCCTATGGTTCATTAGTTTTCATATCAAACCAACCAACTTATTATTCATTATCACCTTAACATAAGCTTTTAAAAATGCAAATCTTTTAACACAATGAAACAGGCAGAAGGAATCTTTTATATGGGACCTTAAACATCAATTTACCCTCTGGAACTGAACACAACAAATAAACAAACACTTCCTAGAATGTATTAAAAATACAATCAAATCACTTTAAAAATATCTCCAAGACAGCTCGTTATAAATAATTCAAATGTTTATATAATGATATATCTCTGGACAAGGATCCCTTGTTTAATTTATATAACAACCATCATCTTTCAAGGTTTGTACAGGTGCATGACATACCAATTACTACATGTGAAAAGTTGAGTACTGGACAGAATACAAAATTAATGATATTACTGCACTGCATGGCATCTACAGCATAACTTTATTTAGTTAATGGCTTACAAACCGGTTTTTGCAAGGTATTTCAATTAATTGTTAAGCACTAACACATCTTGTGGCTGGTACAGAGATAATTTTGTTTGTAATTTATTTAAAGACACCATCATTAACTCAGACCGCCTCTGTGGTCTAGTGATCAGAGTTCCTGGCTACAGATCCAGAAGTCAGAGTTCGATTCCCGGCGCTACCAGATTTTATGAGAAGTAGTGGGTATGGAACGGCATCCACTCAGCCTTGTGAGGAAAACTGAGGAGCTACCTGAATGGAAATGTAGCAGCTCCGGTCTAGAAAACCGAAATTAACGGCCGTGGGGATTCGTTGCGCTGACCACGCGACAACCAAATCCGCTAAAGTTGGCACTAACTTTTCTGATAAACGACGGTCCCTCAGTCAGTATACTTCACTTGCGGACTAAAGCCACGGAGTTTATTTTTTTTTAATATTAACTCAGGCTATATAGCATCAATTGACTGTGTGACACAAAAGAGTGAATTGGAAATTATGTGTAGGAGGAACCAGTCATTACCCACTTTAAAGTAGTAGACTCGAATTTGACTGGAGGGACTGAGGAAAAGCAGAAAGAAGCTTAGTCTGGATACTCAGTGCCCTGATCCAGATTCAAGCAGGGCACTTACCAAGCACAAGTCACAAGTGCTACTGACTGAACCAATCTGCTCAGTGGTACTGGCATCTAGATGAGGAAAAGGCAGACACAAACAACTTACGTGGTTATGTTAAAATATCACTTGAAATTATCCACAACGGCAGAAGCTGCTAAGCAAAGTATCTGTGCAAAATTTCAGCTGACAACAACAGCTGTAATTGTCAACAAAGATAAAGTTAAAATTGGTAAAGTAAACAGCAAGATCCAAAAATTCAAAACATGAAACAAATTCACTGCCAAAATATTAAAAATCAATTACATATTAAGGACAGAACACAAAGTTATTCAATGCAAGTGTCACAAAACTTAAGTGTCAATGTTAAAAGTTGTCCCAGTGCTCAACGAAGTGAGCACTACGCAATGAAGGCATATGGGTGAGTGAATGTATACATCCACATTTTCTTAACCTCTATGTATTAAAAAAAAAAAGCTATCCCTGTAACAGGCTGTGAAGGCCCACAGGGTTGTGAGACGTTAAGGGTCCCACATTACCTTGACAATTGGCTCAAAGATGGCGGTAAGGTTGTCAGCCTTACGCGCCGGCCGCGCTTTACTCCCCAGGAAAATTATGTAATTAATTCCTGGTATTCATTTCTGTTAGAGGCTGAGTAAAACCCAGGGCCTAGTGCTCCCAGAAGGATTAGGTCAATCGAAAAAAATCCAATGACCTCATCGGGACTTGAACCCGCTTGTAGCATAGTACCTTAACCACTACACTTCCGCGCACCCCCTGACTTCTATGACATGTCTAAAAATTAATTTTAATTTGCACCATAACAATAAATAGGAGATATCATTTAGCATTTCTGCAATTCACAAACACACTCTGTTCTGTGCAAAACTAAAAGCATTTGGTCACCTTGCAAAATACTTGAACTTCTGTGATACAAGGCTATGTAGCCCACTGAAAGTAAACTGAAGTTTAGGAGGGACATGTAACCTCCATCTTCAGGGTCAAATAATAAGACAAGCAAGAAACCAGCGTGAATAAGGTGGTTGCCAAAATTTTGGAGTATATAGGAAACAGGAGGAAAATGCAACAAGTCAGTTACTATTGGCTTGCTTAATGACAGAATGAACAAACAAGGGTGTCCTATGGGTGTCAACCTATAACCGATTGTAAAAGTAATGATAAACGCTTTTTCTTGTTACTCCTATTTAACTGTCTAGTAAAAGTAAAAAGTAAAGTAAAGCTATCCCTGTACCAGGCCGTGAAGGCCCATACGGTTGTGAGATGTTGAGGGTCCCACATTATCTAGACAATCGGCTCACAAATGGCGGTAAGGTTCTCAGCCTTATGCGCCGGCCGCGTTTTACTCCCCAGGAAAATTATTTAATTAATTCTTGGTACTCCCTTCTATTAGAGACTGAGTCGACCCCAGGACCATAGTGTGGCTGGAAGGATTAGGTCAATTGAAAAAAATCCAGTTACCTCATCAGGACTTGTACCCGCAACCTTCCGGCTTGTAGCATAGCCCCTCAACCAACTACGCCACTGCATGCACCCATTTTAGTACTATTTCAATAATCTTACCTCCATCTTACATTTCTAACTTCTTTTTGGATGTCTGAAACTTATATCAGCGGTTAAAAATGTAAGAGTGAAATGGTTAAGACAGTCCAAATAAATTATAATTAACAGATGTGAAGAAGAGTCACATGCTGGAGACTTGGAGATAACGTGTGCCACAGCAGTAAGAAGTTCATAAATATTTGCCTACTGATTCTGGAGTTACATGCGACATAAGTGGACAGATATATGCACGATGACAGAAGGACAACCTACTAACAGACACTTACTGCAATCAGGTGGTTCATCAGAACCATCTTCACAGTCTGGACTGGAGTCACACTTCCACCGTGATGGGATACAGTCTCCATTCTCACACCTGAACTCATCGTGACCACACAGATCTGTTAAAATAAACAATCTTGCATAAGAAGTTGCTATCAATCATACAAATTATGTAGGCATTTGTGCTAATGGCAACATATTCTTATCTCAATTTATCTGCAAGGCCCGACTTTGCTGTGGCACTTATGAAAATGAAAAATGAAATGAAGATGGCTTTTGAGCCTCAATAAGTGGGCAGATAGGATAAATTTATATGGCAGGATCATAATGTCAACTGGCAGGCCAGCAAGCAATGGAACTCAAACCAAAACCCTCTCAAATGCAGAAAACAGACAGATTGAAGCACTCAACTTCTGCATTACAAGTCATAATTATGCACATTTCAGTGGTGCTTTCTTAAAGGATTAAAAATGTAGCAGTATTGCTGAAGTACATCTTTAGTGATTTGTAGATAACTATACTACGGGCATTAAAATTCCAGGCTTTAATATCTAAATATGTCCATCAATCACAACAACTTTATACTGATAGAATTAAACTGTCGATAATTCAGTTTAATTTATTAAAATAATTTCATGTTACATATTTCAGCCCTTTATGACCATCATCAGGAGTTTATAAACAACAAAATATATCCAAGTTCATAACTAACCTGCATGAAGTAATGGAGCTATTGCTAATAGTCTTGTCGTATAAAAAAGTTTTTATGCGAGATTACGATGTTTAAATATACTAAAATACTTATCAAACATTAGCAAAACTAGTCTAAAATTATTATTATTGTTGTTGTTTTTGTTTCTGCTGTTATTATTATTATTATTATTATATCTAAAAATTATCTTCTTATGTAGAGAGGGTTTTTAGGGGGGAAGTGTAGTAAGGGGGGTGGTAATATGTTTCATGCTTTTGTCCTTATGGGAACATGGGTGTTGCCCGAGTCTATGTATCAGTGGTTGCTTGTGTGTTCTAATGGATGAAATGGGAAATTTCAAATTTTGGTTCTTTTATGTAGATACCGATGTTATGCAGGAATAGGTCGTTGGTACTGATGACCATGTGTCGTCCTGTTTGGATGGTTTATCTAAAAAAATTAAGAATATATTGTGAGCGGTTCATTATTAATGGGTACATTTTTTATGATTACATTAAATATGGGTTCATGTGTGTCTGTGTTTGTACCGTTCATTTGTAGCTTTTGTACACTAAAATTGTGTATGTAAAAACCTTCCCATGTATTTAGTAGAGGGCTCTTTTTTCGGTGTGGGGTATATCCATTGTTTTCTCTACTGTATCCTATCTGTTGGGTTCTAGTGTGTGTTGCACAAATTTGGAGTTTGGTTTGTTGGTCTCTATTGCTTAAATCTGTTCCTTAAAATGTATATGAAAATTGCTTGCCATAAGTACCTTAATGGACAGTTGTTACATTTTAATTGGTAAATGCCATTTTCAACAAAAGGAACTGTAAAGTGTTCTTTTATTTCAGATGATTTTTCATCCTATTTGTGGTTTTAAATGGTATTCATACATTTGTATTTCTAAATAGTACAAAGTTGTTGTGATTGATGGACATACACAACGTGATGACATACATGCGAATGAAGATAAACCAGGTTTTATTGACTGAAATGTTACTCTTACATTCCTTGAATCGGTATTAACATTAATGATGACATCATTCTGCTTCAGTTAGATGCCATACAGGCTACAGCAGTCACAGAATGTGCCTTCTCCAACAGTACTAGCTTCATACGGTGGCCCAATGTGACAAGGCACTAATATGACCTGACATTAGCCACATACGAACTCCAATCCTTTCTTATTTTTTAGAAATGATTAAGTGAGTGTGAATTGCCTAAGTTACACATTACTGCAGATCACATTTCCTTCTTTCAGTATTTCAGAACAAAACTGATATATTTATATCCTTCTGTGTCAACAGAGTGAATGACGTTTCCATAATTTTGTTTTAATTTATACAGACTTAAGATAGAGAAAGTACATGCTTAATGTAAAAGTAAACTTGTCCTGTGCTTAACTAGGCGCCACATCACGAAGAAGTCGGTGTTTAGCTCCACCACTCTTAACCTCGGCACTAGATGCAGGTAAACAGCTTCATGCCGCTATAGCTTTCCCCAGGAAAACAGCCCCATGTCCTCAATGCACAGGACACCAGATGAATATCAAAGCTGGTGTGAAGAGAAAATTCTTGCCTCTCCCAGGAATTTAAGCTCAACTCCTCAGCAGTACAGCCTGTAGACTAGTCACTATACTGACTCAACCAACCCGACTCCACACATGCTTAATGAGATCAGGGTAACTTTACATCTGCCTGCCGATGTACCCACCCAATTACTACCTATCTTATAAATTTATTGATACATTTCTGTGGTACATCTCTTTGCAACTTCTGTCCTGAAGGAAAACATGCCTTTACCTATGCACATATTTTCGGATTCGAGGAATGCCTGACTGAATATGTTTCAGTTTAGATTGTGAAAGCTGAAACCAACTCTCGATTATCCGGGGGCGGATTAACCGGTTTGCGGCTTAACCGGGGCTTTTTTTTTTTAAGTTTATATGTTGTTTAATATTCATTCACTTTTGTTTCACATGGTGAGTTTAACACTATTTTCGCACTAGTGTGAACCGAGCTCTGCATTATTTCGTCCCGTTATGCGAACACAATGTTCTAGGGTGGGGGTGAAAGAATGCAAGAATTTTTGGAAAGTTTCAAGGACAAATACACCGCCCCAGGTTATTTAACGGTACCATCTCAGTGTGAGAGTGCATTGTGAAAGTAAGTATCAGTTTCTTAATATAGATCTTCAAGTGCGTTAGCAAAATGTCGGGGTTTAAAAGGAAGCGTGTTGTGTTAAGTATTCAACAGAAACTTGAAATTATCAATCAGCTGGAAAAAGGAGCTGTAGTTAAACAATTAGCAATGCAATACGGTATTGGAGAACAAACTGTTCGTGATTTGAAAAAACAAAAGAATGAGTTAATTTCCTTTGCTTCGTCTTCTAATTCAAGCGGAATGAAGAAGAGAAAAACCATGAAGAAATCAACATACGATGATCTCGACAAAGCGATGCTGACCTGGTTTAATCAACTAAGGGCACAGGGAACAACAATAACAGGACCAGTTTGTGCTAAACAAGCTAAATATTTTTTCGAAGCACTTGAACTAGAAGGGAGTTTTGACGCTTCTTCCGGTTGGCTAACACGTTTCAAGCAGCGTCATGGAATACGAGAAATCAGTATTCAAGGTGAGAAATTGTCAGGGGACTTGTCAGCATCAGATCAATTTTGCACCAATTTTGATAGTTTTGTGAAAAGTGAAAATCTGCTGCCAGAACAAATCTATAATGCCGATGAAACGGGTCTTTATTGGAAATGCTTGCCAACCAGAACATTGGCATTTCAAAATGAAAGACAGGCTCCAGGTCACAAATCCAGTAAGGAGAGATTGACAGTCTTGTGCTGTTCTAATGCATCAGGAACACACAAACTAATACCAGTAGTTATCGGCAAAGCGAAAAGACCACGCTCTTTTAAAGGAACAGTAGCTTCAAGTCTGCCTATCCATTATTTTAACCAGAAAGTAGCTTGGATGAATAGAGCGATATTTAAAGAATGGTTTGATTTTAAATTCGTGCCTCAAGTTCGTGACCATCTAAAATCCCAAGGCCTACCTGAGAAAGCTGTGCTCCTCATTGACAATGCGCCCTCACATCCTAACGAAAGTCTCCTGAGGTCAGATGATGGAAATATTTTTGTGAAATATTTTCCCGCTAATGTTACCGCACTTATCCAACCAATGGATCAAGGAGTTATCTCAAGTATGAAGAGAATCTACAGATCAAATTTGCTACAAAAGTACATCGATGAAGGCAATGATCTGACGTGTTTCTGGAAGTCCTTTTCAGTATTAGATGCCATATACGAGATTTCAACAGCGTGGGATACAGTAAAGCCATCTGTATTGAAAAATTCATGGAAGAAACTGATGCCTTTCATCACTAATGAAGATGACGAAATCCATGGATTCACTGGATTCAGTGAAAATGAGATAGCCATAAAATTGACAAAAGTGGCTAACCAAGTTCATGGTGGTGAAGAAGTCAACGAGGAAAATATAAGAGAGTGGTTTAACTGTGACTCGTGTGAACCGGGCTTCGAAATGTTAAGCAGTGACGAAATCGTAACTTCAATGGGGGTGCAGCCAGAAGAGCGGGAAGAAAGTGAGAATGAGGAAGAGGTGGACAGTGTTGCCAGTAAGAAAGTATCACATGGTGCTGCGCTTAATCATTTGGAATCCTTACTAGACTATCTTGAGAGTGAAGAGGACAGTTTATTAAGTGACAAGCTAATATTACGTAGGCTTCGTACGGATATCCGTAAAAAGGAAAATGCCGCGAAAAAGCAAAAGACAGTATTAAATTATTTTAAGTGTTAAGTGTGACCGTAAAAAGTGCTGGATGTTGTTGAACAGTGATTGAAATAACTAATTCATACTGAGTGTAATGTAAAGAAAGTATTAAATAGGCCATGAGATGACATAGAAATGAGGATGAATAAATTTAAATACAGGTAGGTCTATAGTATTATGAAGGTATTAAAAGGTAAAAGGTAAAGTTGTTCCTCTGCTCAACGAATTAAGCCCTACGCCATTAAGGCGTGTGGGGGAGTGGATGTATAGATCCAAATTTTCTTGACCTCGGCACTAGTTGGAGGTGAGTGGTCAGCTTCACGCCCCGGCCGCTTTACCCCCGGGGAAAGAGCCCCCGGTACCCATTGGATAGGAGGTTGGATGGACCCCAGAGCCGGTCTGGACGATTTGGAGAAGTTAAAATTCTTGACCCTACCGGGACTCGAACTCCGACCCTTCACAGTCGTCCAGCCCGTATAATAAAATTTGGCTTAACCGGGTTTTCGATTAACCGTGACTTCCATCCCCACCATTAGCCCGGATAATCGAGAGTTGACGTACACCAATGTCAGGGTCAAAATTCGATACAAGGAAAGTCGTGTGACATATTCGGGTAAAGTTTCCCTGTTA